AATCGATCGTATATATCTATTCGTATATATATATATATATTTATTAATATAAACACACACGTACATTTCAACTGTCTGCATTTATGCGTGCGTACAAAGCCGTACATGCGCTTATGTATGTGTGCGTACGTGCGTATTTCAGTCCCAAGCTTTAATTTGTTCTTTCTTTCGGTCCATGCGTACACGCGCATATATGCATGCATGCACTCACGCCCGGCTGTCGCGCGAAATATCTGACGAGTGCGAATATATGAGATAGCCCCGCCCCGCCGACCCGACCAATGACAGCTCGTCTTTGTGTTACGATAGCTTGTGCACACTCTGCAAGTTCTGCCATGCCAAGTTCTGGTACAGCTAGGTAGCGAAGGAGCAGTGTAGGGAGGGGGAGGGGGAGGGAGGAGGAAGTTTAGAGTAGTACTAGTAGGTGGAGTAGGGAGAAGCTGGTGGAAAAGAAGGAGGGGAGAAGCTGGTGGAGAAGGAGGAAGGGGAGAAGCTGGTGGAGAAGGAGGAGGGGGAGAAGGGAGAAGCTGGTGGAGGAGGAAGAGGGGGAGAAGGGAGAAGCTGGTGGAGAAGGAGGAGGAGGGGGAGAAGCTGGTGGAGAAGGAGGAGGCGGAGAGAAGGAGAAGCTGGTAGAAAAGGAGGGGGAAGCTGGTGGTGTGGGCAGGGGGAGAAGCTGGTGGAGAAGGAGGAGGGGGAGAAGCTGGTGGAGAAGAGAGGAGGGGAGAAGGGAGAAGCTGGTGGAGAAGGAGGGGAGAAGCTGGTGGAGAAGGAGGAAGGGGAGAAGTAGGTGGGGAGAAGGAGGAGGGGGAGAAGGGAGAAGCTGGTGGAGGAGGAAGAGGGGGAGAAGCTGGTGGAGAAGGAGGAGGGGGAGAAGGGAGAAGCTGGTGGAGAAGAAGGAGGGGGAGAAGGGAGAAGCTGGTGGAGGAGGAGGAGGGGGAGAAGCTGGTGGAGAAGGAGGAGAGGGAGAAGGGAGAAGGTGGTGGAGGAGGGGGAGAAGCTGGTGGAGAAGGAGGAGGGGAGAAGCTGGTGGAGGAGGTGGTGGAGAAGGAGGAGGTGGTGGAGAAGGAGGAGGGGGAGCGGGAAGCTGTGAGAGAAGAGTGGGGGAGCGAAGCTGGTGGGAGAAGAAGCGAGGTGGAGAAGGAGGTGGGAGAAGGGCAGAAGTGCTGTGAGAAGGGAGAAGGGGGAGACAGGGCGAGCTGGTGGGGGAGAAGCGTGAGGAAAGGTAGGGAAGGAGGAGGGAGGGAGAAGGGAGAAGCTGGTGGAGGAAAGGAGGAGGGGGGAGAAGCTGGTGGAGAAGGAGGAGGGGGGAGAAGGAGAAGCTGGTAGAAGAAGGAGGGGAGAAGCTGGTGGAGAAGGGAGCAGCAGCGGGGATAAGCTGAGGGGAGGGAAAAGGGAGAGGGGGGGGAGAAGCTGGGCTGGAGAAGGAGGAGGGGGAGAAGCGGAGAGCTGGTGGAGAAGAAGAAGCGGGGAAGAAGGAGAGAAGCTGTGGTGGAGGAGGAGGGGGAAGCTACGTGGAGCAAGGAGGGCGGAGAAGGGAGAAGGTGATGGAGAACGCGAAGAGAGGAGAAGCTGGTGGAGAAGGAGAGAGGGGAGAAGCTGGTGGAGAAGGAGGAGGGGAGGAAGCTGGAGGAAAGGAGGAGAGAAGCTGGTGGAGAAGAGAGGGAAGGGGAGAAGCTGGTGGAGAAGGACGAGGGGGAGAAGGGAGAAGCTGGGCGAGGAGGAAAAAGGGGAGAAGCTGGTGGAGAAGGAGGAGGGGGGAGAAGGGAGAAGCCTGGTGGAGAAGAAGAGGGGAGAAGCGGAGAACGCTGGTGGAGGAGGAGGAAGGGGGAGAAGCTGGTGGAGAAGGAGAGAGGGAGAAGGAGAAGGTGGTGGAGAGAGCGGGAGAGCAAGCTGGTGGAGGAGGTGGTGGAGAAGGAGGAGGTGGTGGAGAAGGAGGAGGCGGAGAAGCTGGAGGAGAAGGAGGAGGGGGAGAAGGGAGAAGCTGGTGCGAGGAGGAGGAGGGGAGAAGGATAAGCTGGTGGAGGAGGAGGAGGGGGAGAAGCTGGTGGAGAAGGAGGCGGAGAGGGAGAAGGGAGAAGCTCGGTGGAGAAGAAGGAGGGGAGAAGGGAGAAAGCTGGTAGGGAGGAGGAGGGCGGAGAAGCTTGGTGGCAGAAGGAGCGAGAGGTGCAGGAGGAAAGCCGGGGTGGAGGAGGGCGAGAAGCTGGTGGAGAAGAGGACGGGAGACAAGCTGGTGGAGCGGTGGTAGAGAAGAGCAGAGGTGGTGCGAGCAAGGGGGGGGGAGAAGCTGGAGGAGAAGGAGGAGGCGGTGAGAAGGTGAGAAGCTGGTAGAGAGAGGGGAGGAAGAGGGCGGAGAAGTCTGGTGGAGAAGGGAGGAAGGGGGAGAAGCGGAGGAAGCTGAGTGGAGAAGGAGGGGACGAAGGGAGGAAGCTGGGCTGGAGGGAGGCAGGAGCGGGGCGAGAAGCTGGCCTGGGAGAAGGAGGAGAGGAGAAGGGAGGCGAAGGTGGTGCGAGGAGGGGGTCGAGAGCTGGCTGGAGAAGGAGGAGGGGAGAAGCTGCGTGGAGGAAGGAGGAGGGGAGAAGGCGAGAAAGCTTGCGTAGAAGAAGCGAGGGCGAGAACGCTTGGTGGAGAAGGAGCAGGGGGAAGAAGAAGCTGGTGGAGAATGAGGAGGGTGGAGAAGCCTGCGGTGGGCGCAGAAGGAGGAAGCGGCGATGAAGCGTGGTGGGAGAAGGAGGAGGGGGGAGAAGCTGCGAGGAGAGAGGAGCGAGCGGGGAGAAGGAGAAGCTGGAAGGAGGGGGAGAAGCGTTGGTGGACGGAGGAGGAGCGGGAAGAAGCTGAGGAGGAGGAGGGGGAGAGAGCTTGCGCTAAGAAGCCGAGGAGAGGGAAAGGAAAGGTCGGAGGAAGTCAGAGCTGTGTGGAGGGAAGGCCGGGGCGACAGAAGCTCGGTGGAGAAGGAGGAGGGGGAGAGGAGCTGGTGGACGAACGCGAGGCAGTCGGGCCGGCGAGAGGAGAGAACGCTGGGTGCGTAGCGGAGAAGGAGGCGGGAGGGAGGGCCCCCTGGGAAGAAGCTTTTAGTTGCCGGAGAGGAGGAGGGGAGAGAGCTGGTGGNGAGGAGGGGGAGGAGGAAGAAGGGAGGAGGAGGGGAGGAGGGGGAGGAAGAGGAAAAGGAGAAGGAGGAGCTAGGGGAGAAGGTGATGGAGGAGGAGTAGGGGGCAGGATGAGGAGGAGAGAAGGTGATGGAGTAGGGGGAGGAGGAAGAAGGGAGGAGGAGGGGAGGAGGGGGAGGAAGAGGAAAAGGAGAAGGAGGAGCTAGGGGAGAAGGTGATGGAGGAGGAGTAGGGAGCAGGATGAGGAGGAGGAAGAGAGAAGGTGATGGAGTAGGGGGAAGAGGGACGATGAGAAGGAGGAGGGAAGAAGGTGATGGAGGAGGAGGAGGGGAGAAGGTGATGGAGGAGGGAGGAGGAGGAAGAGTAGTGAAGGTGATGGAGGAGGAGTAGGGGGCAGGAGGAGGAGATAAGGTGATGGAGTAGGGGAGGAGGAGGAGCAGGGAAGAAGGTGATGGAGTAGGGGGGAGGAGGAGGAAGGGAGAAGGTGACGGAGTAGGTATATCTTAACCTGGGTGCCCATAGGAGGGTAAATTCAGACTGGGGTAATCTCAGACCGGTCTGGAATTGTTTGCGCAAATCAAGTAGAGGGTGATATATAGTATGATAGGACCTTGGCTTCAATCAGTAGCAAGTGGTATAGTATGATAGGACATTGGCCTGGAATTCAGACGGAGGTAATCTCAGACCGGTCTGGAATTGTTCGCGCAAATCAAGTAGAGGGTGATATATAGTATGATAGGACCTTGGCTTCAATCAGTAGCGAGTGGTATAGTATGATAGGACATTGGCCTGGAATTCAGACGGAGGTAATCTCAGACCGGTCTGGAATTGTTCGCGCAAATTAGATCTTAACCTGTGTGCCCATAGGTGGGTAAATTCAGACTGGGGTAATCTCTGACCGGTCTGGAATTGTTAGATATATACAAACACATGTGATTTTACATGGTAAAACTTACAGTTTACATGTTGGTTAGTGCACATGACATGGTACTGCTACTAGCAGTAGCTTGTTTAAGTTTTTCACTAGTGTGTGCGTGTGCGTGTGTGTGTGTGTGCGGTGTGCGTATGTGTGTGCGTGTGACAGGTGTGCGTGTGTGTGTGTGACTGTGTGTGCGTGCGTGCGTGTGCGTGTGCGCGTTTGTGTGGGTGTACATGTGTACGTGCGTGTGTATGTGTGTATTGTTTGTTGTTATGTGCTAATACTATTACCATATATGATTGATACCACTTGACATTAAACAGTTAATATCTATTTAATATTCTTACATTAATAATATAGGCCTATTGTTAATGAAATGTTTATCAATGGTTAGATTTGAATTGAATTGCAGCATTTTAACCTGTGACGTTAGTCTGAACCGTGCTCGTGTGTGTGTGTGTGTGTGTGCGTGTGTGTGTGTGCGTGTGCGTGTGCGTGTGCATGTGCGTTAGAAATGCTTCAACCAGACCCACTACTCATCAAACCCATGAACTGAATTATATGTCATCTGTCCCAACAAAGACTGTTATAGATACTCTCTTTATCCCCGCACAATACTAACATGGAATGCACTACTACCTACTACCAAGACTGCTCCTGATGCGGCTTCATTCAAAAATGTAATTAACAGCAGTAAAGAAAATGTGGGAAACAATTAGGTTATCAGAAGGGATGCATGATGAACTGTACGTTTACAGCCACACCAGACCTGTATAGTACAGTACCAGACAAGACGTGTGTGTGTGCGCGCGCGTGCGTGCGTGCGTGCGTGCGTGTGTGTGCGCGCGCGTGCGTGCGTGCGTGCGTGCGTAGGGCTTTGCTTTGCATCACAGCGTTACCTGACTACAAATACGATCGATTGCTATGTGTGCTTTAATATCAATACGAACGAGAGTGATAGAGTAGAAGAGCAACGATTTCTTAGTAATCAAATAAAGACTTTAATGAGCTAAATAATACACAACATTCCAACAGTATTGAATTATCGTCTCTCTATTCCCAGATCGAACCTACTCGCCATCTCTCTAATTGAACTCACTTATTATCTCTCTAAAATCTAACCTGTCTATTTCTATGCCCAAAAATCCAACTCTACTTCTTCTCTAGTCCAATCAAACCCCTTCCCCTTGATTCTAGCTCTATTTATGATCTGATTGTAAACAATGGTAAAATCAAAACACAGTCAGCTGTGCAGCTGTTGGCAGTGCCGCAGATGTCACTGCCAATCAGAACTGCACTTACATGACAATGTCGTAACACAAACATGGACGAGCCGAATTTGGACGACAGACGACGCGTGGATCTCCCTTGCTTATCCGTCTTCTCATTATAATTCATGGTTTCTCACTCAGTGATCATGGTTTCTCACTGAGTGTTCATGGTTTCTCATTCAGTGATCATGGCTTCTCTCTCAGTGATCATGGCTTCTCTCTTGGTGATTATGGCTTCTTCCTCGTTGATCATAGCTTCCCCCTTGGTGATGGTTGGTGTTTATGGTAAATTCATAATGCCTTGCAAGCATTCTCGCTGGTTATCCTCCCAAAGCATTATGGTATGACCGATTTTTTACCCTGCCAATAAGTCAATGAACAGACATTTATAATTCACACAAACAACCCATATAAGCCCTGAAATAATATTTAATGCTTTTCTTCCATCGTGGGTCTTTTGCACTAGTTAGAAATATGATCAGCAGTCTATAAAACATGGCAAAGTAAAATGAAATGCCAACATTACATCAAAGGCAAACATGCACTTACATGCAGCATGTTCAACAGCATCAAGAAAGAAGATGTGGCTTGGTATGTCTTTCTTTCAGAGATCTGAGTGCTGCGGTCAATTAACAACCTATATTAGAGAGTATATAAAAACAATGGTTGGAAACACATTTCACACTTGTAAATATATTTTATAGAAGACATACTTAATAATGTCAGGAGCCTATTGATAGACTCCTGATAATGTGGCTCCTGCTTTATTGGAACAGGTTTGGAACTATGGAAATGTCTCAATTAAGCAGTGAGCATGATTAAGTGGGGACCACTTCACTATTTTGTTGCTGTAGGCTTGCCTCTAAATTATAAACATAAGTTTAAGCTCCTGCAGTTTGACAATGACCGTTGGCTGCTGCAGTTTGATAGAGTGCTTTGTGACATCATCAATGCCAATGCAGTATGCGTGCCCTGTGTTTGATAACGAGCTTCTGCTCCAAGTGGTTTGCTTCTGCTCCATACCTTATGGGAGGTTGCCAAATAAAAGATTAACGTAACGTAACACGTTGTATCCATCGACTGTTGTTATCCCTCACAAGTGCAGACATCTTTACTCCTGCGACATGGTATCAGAATTGTCCTGCAATCACAGTGAATGAGAGTGAAAGAGCTGGATTTACATCTACACATGGATGCTATGGAGAATTTCGAAGCAAAATTTGGTAATCAGAGTCGCGTTCTGCATAGCAGCCAGGATATGTCCGAGACAAAGAAATTAATAATAGTGGAGGTTTATGTGAAACCACTGAAGCAACTTGAAATTTACTGTGCTAATCCAGCTCATTCCTGGTAGAAGTGGCAGGGAAAGTTTGGTATATACCTACAGACCATTGGGGCCACATCAAAGGCTAGTGAGCAGAATGTAGGACTAAGTGAGTGGTGAACTTTACCACGCCTGGTTCTCCCCAAACCAGAGCCATCTCTAGCACTGTTTCATGAAACAGGCGAGATATCTTCTTCTAAGGCAAATGGGAGATAGACAGCAAAATGCAATGCGAGATAGAACGATCGGTAATGAGCAGGTAGGTAACGAAATGAGCAGAAAACAGTGGAGTACTACTAATTAATTACCGATTGAACATCTAATGAGTAAAAGTGTTAATCCTGTGATTTGACCTGCTTTTCTTTTGGGATAAGAATTTCGGTCAATGCGCCCCACGCATTATGAAAGGTAGACGTACCTTATCCTATGTGTGACTGTGTGATTGATTTCGTACTGGGGACAGCTCAGGCGGTTTTGCGCCTCCACCAATATTGACCGTCTTTTGCACTAAAAAAGAACGATAAGCAATTTGAATAGCAGCTAATCCAATTAAGATCACCTTTGGAAACCAGTGTCAACGTTTGTAGCAAACTAGCTATTCAGGAGTGATCGTAAGTGTTGCTTCGTGTGATATGCGAGTCGGTAGCTAGCAGTGTCACCATTGTGATATGCGATGAAAAGTATTATCCTTCTAATAGTTGTTCCTATAGTAGAAGCATAGTATCTGCTGTTATAAAGTAACTTTATAAACCTCATGCCTATATATTAAATATCAGGTCTACACTACATGCCAAGGTTTAATTCGAGTAAAGCAAATTGCTGCTATTAGTCCATGAGCACAGACCAGATATTGGTACCACCTGGGGTGGCAAATCCTCCACTATGTTTTTTTGAAAGCCTATATCCATAGATGGAAAAAAAACCCATGAAGCAAGCCGAGACTCACGGCTTAATGGTAGAAATTGCTACTTGTATATGGGCACTCTGGTGGAGCGGCAGGTGCCAATTATGGGTAGGGTACATATAAATGATAATTTGCCAAGAAATGGACATACAGTGACAAATGACCCCTCAAAATGTTGATATTTTTTCCTCTACACTTTAATATCCATCATTATGCAAATCTGCTGTGTATGTAGGTCAGCAGAGGTCAAAAGGTCATGAAATTTGACCCCTGATTAAAATGACCACCTGTCAGAAAAATGCCCTACAGAATCGTTTATCAATGGTTATTTGTTGGTCTGCGAGTGTTCTATCTGAAGCAAAGAGATGTAGAAGTTGATTTATAGTAAAAAAAAGTAAAAATAAAGTCAAGTAAGTAAGTAAAGTAGTAGTAAGCCAGTAGTTTTTTTTTTTTTTCGTTTTTTTTTTTTTTTAAATATTTTTACGTTCCCCGCGGATCCACGACTCTGCTCGTGGATAGATTATTGGTTTTTGTTACTCTGATTTCCAACAGATGGCAGGCACTACCTACCTAGTAACAGTCTGCCAGAAACAAGGTTTGTTTACCGTTTTCCTAACGGAATATAATATAATAAATGTGTAGTATGTAAAATTTCGAAGTATTTTTGCATGTAGAAACACAAAACAAGGTTCATGCCAATTCATGCCAAACAAGGTTTTTGTTACCAATGGTTATTTGTTGGTCTGAATTCTGAAACAAAGAGATGTAGAAGTTGATTTATAGTAAAAAAAAGTTTGCTTTATTTTCATTTACGCTATGGTATGCAACGAGTTTTGACATATTCTTAAAAATCCTATGTTAGTATTACATACAAAGACAATTACATTTACATTACAATTTACATAGACAAGGTTGTGCCATGGCAAGCTGCTATACCATGACTATGTTTCGTATTGGTACATTGACAGCGTGTTGGTTAGCTTATTCATCATCTGAATCATCATTATACTCATCGTCATCAATTGCCTCGAATTCTACTTCATTGTCGTTTTCAGCTTGCTTATTTTGATATGTCTGTAAACTGCAGAAATATGTGCACTTCATGTTGTTCTGGACACAAGTGCAACTCTCGTCACTACATTCCTAGCGACAGTTGCATGCAATCAGCCCCATCACAGTCTCCGGGGCAGGTGGGTCATCCCCCCAATCAATGACCAAGTTCCCATCTTCTTTCTTCCAACCATGACCGACAGGGGAAGGAATCTCAGGAAACGCGTCCATGGTCCTCTTCCAGACAGCGCATTGATAATTGGCCCTCTTGCAGTGATTGTGAAGAGGCACAAGGTGGCAGCTGTCAGGATTCAGCCTCTCCTTTCCTTGCACAGAAGATGTTGAACCTCAACTCATTGACACTCTCAGTCACTGTCCTCGCACTGTACAGATGGCATACAAGAGACTCCAATGCTTTGAGAAGCTGTGATGATATTTCCCAGTATTTGCCAAAGCATTTGAGTGTTTCAATCTGTCTATCACTGTTCAACAACTTGAGGGCTGTGACTTTGCCCTTTCCGGTGAAGCAGCTTACTGTATCACACCCGGTTATTGCATGTAATCCCAGGAGACCGCCACATTTTTCCGGACCCAGTGTGGCTGCTAACTTCCTGACATCTACATACTCAGTGCGCGATTTTGTTCCAGACTTCATTAAAAGTGAGCATTCCAACTGTAATGAAAATGCCATGCCAATAACCAGGACATCTGTATTCTCAGATACAATCACTACTGCAGCAAATCCAGACTTGGCACAGTCATTGGCATGGAGGTACAGCGTTGTATCAGCCTCCTCTTGAGTGCATCTTAGAGCTGGGACGTTGCTGACGGATCCATCCGTTAGTCTTCTGCATACATCTCCCATAGTGGCGAAGAACTCTTCCCAGATAGTCTGCTCCTTTGCTTATCTTTGCTCCAGTCATTCACAAGAAATTAAATCAGTAGTGTCTTGTTCTCTGGGTTTTGTAGGAAATGTTTCCATTGCTTTACTCGGTGTCCTGGTGCAAGTATCCTGAATGACATCCCAACCCGAGATTCTCGATTGACTCTCTCTGCATTCTTGATCGATTTGTCTCGGTAGACATCAAACACCATGTCTATTCGTCGGCAGGCTTTTCCTTCTCGTAAGGCTGCTGAAAGGATAGCTTCGGAGGCTTCACCAAACGACATGTTTTTTGAACCCACCAGTTGTCTTTGTACCAGGGCCATACCATCTATCACACAAGCTGAGTTTGCTGGTATCGATTCTACTGGTGCCAATTCTTTCTTTAGACGTTTAGCCAGTACTGCCTTGTTCGTCTTCCTCATGGTTTCATCCAGATTTGCCAACGCCCATGGTATTGGCCCGAGACAATGGGAGAGCACGTCTTTCATGTCAAGCTTTCTTGTTTGTCCGATCAGGATCATTTTGGCAAAAAGATTTCTATCTGCCTTCATTATCATCTGACGTCCTTGGGTTTTGTATGTTTTCTTTACCGTTATGTCAGTGAATGTTTTCAGCTTCTGCTTCCTCAATGGCTCAAAGAAACCCCTCTTGGGCTTATCTCCCAACCTCTCTTCTCGGAAGAGTTTATAGGCAGCTGTGCCCTTATTCTTAGCCTCCAATAGGTCAATAACTATGGGTCCAGGTGCAGCTGTGCCAGTTGATAGACTGACTATGTCAGAGTGGACACGGAATGGGTTGATCCAGTTGGACTCAAGCAGGTCTACCAATGAAGTAATATCTTTTTCATCCTTGTCTATCCTGGTTTGGCTCAGATCAGGGTGCCTGAAAGCAGAGTTACCAACTCCAATGGCATCTCGCAATAGTCTTAAGAATGAGCTTCTGTATTCCGCAGTGAGGTAATGTCGGCTGATGGCCCTTGGCTTAAGACTAAAGCCTTTGGTTCCGCCTGGCGTCTGAGTGTTTTTGTTTACTGTCTCTTTGCCTACTTGATCTACAGGAATCCTCCCGAATGTATTGTCGTAGCCAAGTTGGACAGAAAACCCGCCACTCTTGAGGAATGCCAGTGCATCCGGATGTTCTGTCCCCAGGTTTGACATCTCCGCATAGTAGCTCGACATAAACCGCGCATAATTCTGTTTGTCATAGGCGAAGCACCGCGGAATCATGTCGTGAATTGCAGAGACGTGCAACGGCCAATTTCCCTCTTGAGAACTTCGCAACAGGTTGAGTATATTGTTTATTATGTCAAAGTAAGACATCCAAAATGATGCCAAGTCCCCTGCATCTTCACGAAGATGTCTCTGGTACTCCACGAAGTGATCTGCCAAAGTTATGAACACCGGATGATGAAGCGTTGCAGTGAAGGTCTCCTGGCCTATGTCTTGGGAAAACTCATCGACCATCCCAGTAAAATCTAGGTCGCTTCCCTTGGACGCTAGCCATTCTTCAAATCCCGTCCATGCAAGCCGTTGTAAAGCCTCATACAAAAGTTTGTGAAACCGGACTGCACGGTTGTACCGACGGCCATCAAGGACACCCTCAACAGACCCTTCTGCAATGACTCCGGACTCTATACAGAGGTCTCGCAAGCCCGCATGTTGGAAACGCTTTCCAACAATATTTAGTAGTGTGCACACTGTGTGAAATACACCTAGCCTAGGAACAATATTTGAGAACTTCTCTCTCTGTTTCCAGATTATCTCTGTGGCTTTTGCGTACAGTGCTTGATCAAACACAACGACTTTACTTTCAAGGGCTAGTGAGGCTCTGATTTGCTGTGACTGGCACAAGGCCTCATGCACAGTTGACAGCTGCGTGGCAGGGGCATTGATCGTCGGCAAATACCCAACCACATCTGGTGTAACATCAATTTCATTGCGAACTTGAATGTTAAATCCTGTCCAACTAGGTACCGTCTGGTTTGCTGCACAATGCAGCCGAGTTATGAGCCATATGAGATTCTTCTCGAATGCCTTCTGTTTTAATTCCTTGTCGTCTACTTCAATGTAACGTCGAGGAGGTGGACCAACTCGTGCACCGGCATTGTATATCGGAAGTTGAGTCTCGACGACCTTGATAGTTCTGTCCTTCTGTTTTGGTTCCTGTAAGACTCTCTTTGAAGTTTCCGGACCAAACACCTTGGGCTGCACGATAATTCCATTCACTCTGTGTGATGTACCTCCTCCGCTCAACGTCTCCTCCAGTCGATCAATGTTATCATACGCCAGTGTCACCTGAACGTTTGGTTGTATGCAACCGGGTATGGCAACACTCTCCTCATTTAAGGACATTTTGTGAAGGCAGAGAGCTGTGTCAATCTCTTCAATTTGGGAGTAAGAAACACCGTGGCCACAACGATTGAGAAACCGGATCAGTTCAACACAACCAGTGAGTGATTTGACAGCATATGGCAACAAGATGTGTTTGGGAGGTTTTACCTTTGCAGACGTTATGCCATAAACAATGTCTTGCCCTATGGATTCTATCAGTCGGTGAATTCGGTCAGATACAGAAGCTGAGGCATCACATTCGCCAATTAAAAGCATTCTC